ATAGAACACATTTCCATGAAAAAAGTTCAAAGTAATTAACATTGCAGGGTCAACATTTTGGCAACTGGACTACACTCCTTCCGTATGTGGAGCATAGTCCCTACAGGTAGTTTGACTATACTTTAGGGTTTTTCATCAGCAACTTGGCTTTTCTGGGAAGAGATAGGCGGCCTGATACGTTATCGTCTAGTTTGGCTTTGTGCTTTACGTGAAGACTCTATTCATTCTACAGGGTTTCTGCCAATAAATGAGCTTCTAACCCGTGTTGATAAGGAGACGCTACAACGATGGGACAGACTCTGGTACCTCAGTAGCATACTGAATGTGACCAACCCTATACTTTTCGCACACCCAATTTTAAAAATGCCGGTAAGTGTCTTTGTATTAATTAACTGCTCCAATACAAGGAAAAAGCAATTTCACTTGCATGTATTGTAGATAATATAAAACGTCACAGAGATGACATGTGCTTGTTACACATAGTATGAAAACATAATCAATATTTGATCAGCTCTTGCTCGCCATGAAATGTTTACCACGTGGAAAATGCTAATGATGATGCTGTCACTAACAAGTAATCATAACTGTTTATTTACCAGACACTGAACATTCATCTGAACATGGTAAAGCATTTTATATGGGATATGAACACACCGCAGGAAAGGCATACGGAACCTAATGAGACACAACAGATCATAAATGACATGAGTGCTGTCCTTTACGACGAAATATCTGCACTTCAGTATACCCACAAGGTTTTTCTATCTTATTTATTCTTATACTAACCATGTCACTGCTGGGAAACAATGATTATTAGCAGTAATTGCCTACTGACTAGTGAAACCTAATCAACAAATGCCATATTCTCAATAATTAGTACAGGCCCTCACAAGTAGCAGATCAATAATTTGGGCAGTGAAGACAATATTGACATAGCTGTGTAATTTCACACAATTTCCATGTATATGCACACTCTCATGATGTATGCACATCACGCGTGGTTATTTTGTTTTAGTGGGAGAAGGGAGATTTCATCGTATTTGACAACAATGCTATCCTGCATAAAGCAAGTCCAGGAACGCAGGTGATGCCACATAAAGATGGTATTCGTATCATGCATCGCACCACGGTTGAAGGACACTGCCCATTGGAGAAGGAATATGAACACTACCGAAACAGTTACAACTAATTTGTGAGATCACACAATCACAGTCTGAGTCATGTCTTTACACATGAAAATATCTATACTGCGTACATATGCAAGTGCACAGGGTGTTAGCCAGGAAAAAAAATCAGGTCTCACCATCTGAGCAAAGCGAGGATGCTGCGGGCACGAAGCGCCTTAGGGGCTAGGGTGTGGGAGGGGTTTTCCTCCTCCTACGGTGTGGAATTTTTATTTTTATTTTTAGACGGGTAGACGGGTCTCTGGCCAACACACTGCAAGTGCATCAGTTGTGGGATGCTATATTTCAGAATTTTGGAAAAAATTTCCATTATTATTATTATTATTAAAAAAAATTGATTATTTTTGGAAGGCATACTTCTTGAATCGCCTTTCTATCACCAGCAGATGTGCCGGTAATAGTAAATAAAGTAAACATTATATAATGATCCGAGTGATCCCACATATTGCCAATTTATGGTGCCTTTTTCGGTGTTTTAAAGTACTATTGGTCTACATACTAAAGTAGTTAGTACTATTAGTCTAATTGATTAAAGAGAAGCCATGCGAATATTATCAGAAGTAAGAAGAAGACTACAGAAAGCTGTCATAAACAGAATAGACATAAAAGCCATGGGTAAATGTAATAGAACAGCTGTCTGTTCTTAACGTTTCATCAGTGGTATGATTTTTGCACGTATTTTACAAATACTACACTGACTGGCTAGTAATGACACCGTCACGTGATTTAAACTGAGTTAGAGCAAAGAGGCTGGACTGATAAATACACTAATTTGCATTCTAAAAAATGATTTTGCTAGGGTATTATAAATAAATTAGGTCTGCTGTAACGTCAAAGACATTAAATGAATAATTTTGGTGATCATTACTCTACAGTATTGAAATGTCACCAGAAGTGATACATCTGAACATTATATTGCACTAGTGGACTGTGAAGAATTTGTAGCTTTTGACAGTTGAAGTATTAAATTAGGAGTTTTGAATTAGTTGTGCTCAAAACTCCACTATCAACTTCTTCTAACAAAGTTAACATTATAATTGTGACAATCCTCTATTTAGCTACATTTAGCTACAATGCACAGTGTGCCGAGACATTGTGGACTGCAACTGTCTGCCTGCCTGTCAAATATATATCACCCCATATCAGTATTACGTAGCAGTTAAATCATTGATTATAGCAAGATATATTACATGCCTATCTCTAGTCTACAGATATATATGATTATTAATTCATTGCTCTCTATACGTGGCAGTACTGATGAAAATGCATGTTCTTATATTATTTCTTCATGAAAATCAAGACTAGGGGAAGGGTTTTGTGGACTAGGAAAATCAATGTTGCTGGAAACAGGAGCACACAAGTGTAACATTGACAAGAGGGTATTAAGCATGAGAGCGTACAACGGTGAAATGCAACAACCATGTTGTAGTTTCAGTAGAATTAGTCAACTTTACCCATTTTATTTTGACAATTATTTGCAGTATTATTATTCAGCAGTCCTACCTTGATAATATAAAACCAACCATTTGTCCATACGATGCCCCTACGCTGAGATATTAACTGGCAAAATCTAGTATTTTGGCAAAAATCGAACTCGAGTTGGCAGCTAGCTGCGACTGTCTCGCGTTTAGTGATGACTTCGGGAAACCTCCTGAAGGGGTTTCCGTCATTCAATGACAAATAGAATTCATTTTCCTTCTGTAGTGTTGAATATATCTCTAACGTAGACAGTAGGATGTAACAGTTGTATAAACGGTGACAACTACAGTTTTCTTATAAATACGGATAAACAGCACAGTCAAAACAGTGTACACGTACCGATTAGAGGTTGCCGTCGTCTCCTCCGTTTCTCCCAAAACCCGTCCTTTTTAAGCCGTCCGCATCCCCGCTGCGACCTGTTTAGGCTTAACTAATTCATGACGCGGGTAGTGGATATAATGACCGGTCGTGACTAATTAATGTCCGATGGTACCAGGTAGGAGCGCCGACCACCGTTGACGTTGCCTGCCTAATGACGGCTGTTTGATAAACCGCACCACATTCTTCTTGAAGTTACAGTACTGTGTTCGTACCATTCTGAAATGCATTGTCCACACTGAATTATGTGTGCTCTTAAGTATGTAGCTAATGTATTCTGGGTCCATCACGGGTGCCCCTGAACATTTGCATGAGCCAAATTCCCCATGTCTCCATCTCAAAGCTAAAACGCCGTACTACACTTCTACTATCTTTTCTCACATTTCCAGTCATGGACGCAGCCATTACTCCACAATTACGTCTTGTTATTTATTTCCATGGTGATGTGATGACCTGCCTCTTACGCTGGATTTAGTAAACTCTGTAGACTAGTAATGACGTAATGAGTCAGCGCTACACAGCCGCGACCGGAAGCAACATGCTGGACACTAAACGCGAAACAGTCGCAGCTAGCTGCCAACTCGAGTTTTGATTTTCGTCAAAACACTAGATTTTACCTCTTAATATTTCAACGTAGGGACATCGTATGGACAAGCGGTTGGTTTTATATTATCAAGGTAGGACTGCTGAATAATAATACCGCAAAGAATTGTCAAAATTAAACAAGTAAAGTTGACTAATTCTGGACACTGAAACTACAACATGGTTGTTGTATTTCAACGCTGTACGCTCTCATACTTAATTCGCTCTTGACGTTATGCATTTCCAGAACATCTTATTGCAGACAAAAGACTGGTTAACTTTGATTAGCTACGAATGCAATTAATGTTATGCAACAATGTATTACATAATTACCTGTTGCTTAGCAATAACAGGATTTATCTCAATGGTAGATGATCTTTTCATGCCGATTTTTAGGCGCAGTGTTGGCAGCTATATCAACGTTGACATGACTCTCCCCTGAATGCCTGGAACCAATAAAAAACTTATGTATGCTTGTCACACTTCTTATAATTACTGAAACCAAGCACTTAAATTTATAATCATAAAACTTCAAATCGACACTGTTCTCACTATAGTAGACAAATCATTGACTCCATGCAGAAAAGCCTCAATTAATCCTGCAAAATTTGTCAGCAGAGGAAACTAAAAGTTGGCACTACACATGGGTCAAACTTTTAGCTAGACAGTCTGCAGCCGGATATCCGCAGAAGACTGAGCGCGCCAGACTCCGCCCTGGGGCATTCACAACACGATTTCGTGCCCCTATTCATCACCTTCAACGGGTTTACCATATATAAGGCAAGCAGCATTTCGCCTGAGTTGAGCAGTTCTGCCGATGGACGCCGATTTCACTAGCCCATGTAGCTTGAGATTTGCTTGAAATGCTCGTATAACTTTTTTGGCGACTCGCGCGCTCGTTTTTGCTGTAAAACGAAATTTGCACTTTCTTCTTGTTTTGTTTCTGTTGATGAGTGTAGTACATATGGCGTGCGATAGAGGCGCAACGAACCGCCGAGATTATAGGCATAGTAGACTGGTACCCGTTCCAGCACCTTATCCGGCATATGCGCTACACTCACGTAGTGTGCGTGTGGAACTGTCGACGCGGGTACCAGTCTATATATGCACATGGATTGATAGCATGGCGTCTTGCGTCTATGTTATAACCATGGAAAAGTTTCTTATTCTTCGTCGTTTGATTCGTTAAATAATGACGACGCCGGCACTGGCATTTTTTCATCGAAGGTCATCTAATTAAAAGGAAAGTCGAATTTTGTTATGGCAGACTAACGACTATAAATAAGTAATGTAACAAGCGTAGATTCAGCTTTACAAATTAGTTTACATACGGCGGTGGTCGTAGCCGTGTTATGTCGAATCTTAACCCACCAGGCCTGTGTAGCTAACGTCAATACACCCAATATATCTAACCCTAGCAATACCGTTTCTCTGGAGCTAGTCGAATCTATGATCTTGCAGTGCAGACTTGCAGTCATACACTCATATGTACAGTCTTGTCGGGTTATTTACATTACTATCAATATCATAGTGACGGAAAGTTGTACTTGCAAGTAGTTGTAGTGTAGCGGCACTTGCTGTATACTGATCCATAGACTGATATAGCTAAGGTTAGTAACTAGTAAGTGTACTGGGACGTAAATTAACCACTATTAGTATTACAACTAATTCATAATGGCTCCATTAATACAGAAATGAATAAACCCTGAGGCTGAATGTTCCAATTAATTATATACAGGTTATTTTACTGCCTATAGCCTAGATCCTAACATATAATACGATGTATTGCGATGTATGTGTTGTGCGGCGTTTGTGCATGTATTGCTAACGTTTCTCGCTTAGCTTAGTCACTGGCGATGGTAATCGAGGTGGAGCGAGTCCCAGTCTATATAGCTTTGTCCTTGCAGGCCATTTCCATTACTGGGCAAGGTTCGGGCGAGACTCGAGAATTCGTCAGCTTGTCTGTGATTTCGCGTCAACAAGCTCGGTTACGAAAGAGAAAATTATGTTTTGATAACAGTGAACACTGTCAACAGTGCCAAATGTCACCTCCTGTGTCCCCACTAAAATATTGCGGACTGTTCGCGTGGCGCAGCTATGAGTCCGTGCGCACACGGCCAATTCACTTCGGCGCACGGATCCCAAGCTGCCAGCGCTGCATACGTCGTAGGAGCGTTCCGTCGGCTCGCGTGCCGGCCTGCCGCGCGAACTGTGCGCAGATCTGCGCTTAAGCGCTTTGGATTCAACCTCGTCCTTTCGGCAACGCTTTTCTAGATCTCATGGACGCGTCTCATCGGATTCATATCATGCTATAGATATGAATCATCGTATACGTGTTGTTTGACCGTGCACCATGTGCCACGCAAGCGACAAGGCACTTTGGAGCGTTTCCCAATAAAATAAATGCCCTGATTAGGCCATGAGAGAAAAAATTCCGGTTTACGATCGTCACCCGCCCGCGATGCCGCTTAGTCCCGCGCCCAAAAAAGTCATTATTTACCAAAAATTCATTATTTGAAAAAAATTCCCTCACTGAAACATAATAGATACTATATCACAAGGTGTACTTAGCCTAAACGCAATTCTGATGATTTTGACAAGCTTGGGGCAGTCCGGATTGTACATGGCACTTTCTAACCGCTAGACATAATCAGGGCGCCGGAAAATAAAGATTTGTCGAAAAAACCCGAAGATGACGACTTCAAACCGAAAATTCCCGAACGTGAAAAATGAAAAAAATTTCAGCCTGAAAAATAAAATAATGAATATAAAGAGGGCGGCTAGATTGTTTATTGTCTGTACTGTATTTCACTGTATCAGCCTGAAAATTAAATAATGAAGTAATGAAATGAAAAAAAGCCTCATCACTTTTTAAAATTCTGGACGGTAAACCGGATTTTCATTCTCATGGCTAGTGATAAGTAAATACGAAACCTATTGCTCAGAGTACGAGTAGCGTTTACACCCTCATATCGTGAGTTTGGTTAATGTGGGGGGTACACTCTTAAAAATTTACAGAGGTCTTCTTGAGGGTGTTGTCAACTAATTTCTATCAAGAAAGGGGTCATTTGTTGTCGCAAAGGCGCGACAATAATACGTCGTTTCACCCAGCGACATCACCTTGTTTTGACGATCACGGCTCGCGTATTTCAGTTACCATTCATGTCTCTGCGGCCGTCACATTTCTCCTCGAGACTTTGCCCGGGGCACTACGCAGTGATATAACTTCGTCTCCGCTGTCAATAACCTAAACCAACGTTGTCCTTGGCCATTTTCCGCAAACGCACTATGAACACGCCAAATTTCACGTCAACATTCGGCCATTGTACTCACACTGATCGCTGCTGCCATCTAGCGTCGATGGCGACTATTTCGCACGCACACCACTGATCTCTATAATATAATTATATTATAGATTATATGATTATATATTATATATTATATATGATTATATTATAGAGATCAGTGACCCACACCCACACATCTGCATACTTTGCCTTCGGCGATTCTAACATTCGTTTTCTCGTTTCCCGAATATGTGCTCTTCATCAGATATCGCTCTATCATATATTCGTCAATCTGCTCTTTTATCTTCTATACATATTACGCCAGAGTACCCTTACTTAGTATAATACAGATCGGTGTGTAGTATCGATTGCTTCATACAGCTCTGTCGAAAGCCATGCACCGGTGTCTATCATGCGTTTGTTGCGCGGCACCTAAACACAATAATGTAACCCAAACACAGGATAGGATACCCTATTATATATATATATAAAATTTTCTCTTTGATTCGCTCTATCCAGATGAGACGGGATACTAGAGAAGCGTTGCCGAAAGGAGATGTTGATCCGAAGCGCTGAAGCGCAGATGTTTCGCTAACTTAGAACTTCCGAACTTAGAACGCTCGAGAACTTAGCGAATTTCTGCAAAGTAGTCGGATCACATTTCAAAGACAAAAATGACCAACCGGTCGCTGCGGCTACGCCACCTGACGGAATGTCACGAATACACAACAAGACCAATTTTACTTCTAATGCTTTCAGACTCCACGAGCATCTAAACTTGCGTGCATAATGCAAATTATTGTAATCTAGTGCCGAATTTCAGCGGGAAAAAATGCCAAAAAAGGCCTTTTCTAGAGACGAAATAGTGCAACGGTGAACAATTGCGGCGGCTTACTGTTGTACACCTCCTATATATATACAGTCGCTGAGTGGTAACACCAGAGCATATAAATCACCATTATTTATTAAATCAACGTGATCTATATGCTCTGGTAACACTCCACAGTATATAGCGTAGTGGCGCCATCTATCGGAGGAAAAAGGTGGTTTTTAAACCTGGGGGTGTCGAATAGGATTTGGCCACTGTGCAAGTGCCTTTGGCATTGCATGTGAATGTGCATTCAGTTTACTTCTAGGTGTGCATTAACCCGATCAGGCTGTGTGACTAACGTCAATATACACAATATAAAATAAATAATATATATATATATATATATTATATATTATAAGGTCTCCTAACCCTAGCAAAGACCATTTCTTGAGCTGTGTGCATTAGCTCCAAGAAACGGTCTTTGCTAGGGTTAGGAGACCCAGCAATTGTAACCCAGCAGTTAGTCACACAGCCTGGTCGGGTTAGGTGTGCATGTGCAATCATGATCTCAGGGGCGGATCCAGGGCTGAACTAGACAGTATTTTTTCAGTTTTAGAGGCACATCCCCAAAAAAGGGCACACTATACCCCACAGTGGGCGCCGTTAGGCGCGGACGCACAGGGCGGGGGGGGGGACGGGGGGGATGGGGCCAGGTATGTGAATGTGAGAATTCAAAATGTCAAGGGTCTCTGGGCACAGAAATGAGCCACCATTTGAGCACACATTTAGTCAAGCAGCAATAGCTAAAAACCATATGGAATTTTATTTCTGCTTCATTTTGCCTGCGCTTTGCATACCAGCAATTAATGCAGAATGATTCAAGCACTTCCTTCTTTTTCAGATATCAAAGCTAGTTTTGTTACCATGTAAAATTTGATTTCTTTCAAGTCCTGTCAATGAATCAGAAGAAAAAGAAAACAAATAAAGAATATATAGCCAAATTCCATCAAATTGTTTTCTGTACTTTTTAGCGTAAAATTTCGGAGGGCACTTTGAAATCTAGACCGTATTTCCCAATACGGCAAATACGGTCTGAATCCGCCCCTGGATCTGCGGGGCTAATCCTAAAACCATCGTATATAAATTACGGGGTTGACATTTGGCAAGGTTATGATTAAGGCAATATGTCATGACAACGTATGATGGTGATCATGTGTTATGCACAGTGTATTATTTACATGTATGTATTATGTCATTGTGTTATGTACATGATTATGATAATCATAATGGAGTAGGCCCTATGGCTATGAGGCCCACTCGAAACACAAGAAATTCACCATTTCCATGCCTTAGACTAGTTTACCTATGATTTATTAAAGGGACAGTAGCCTCTAGGATTTTACTGAATACAACTGTACTTGCTGTGTAACAAATCGTCTATACCCACACGTATTTGTTACCAGATACCTAATTTAATTGTTATAATTAATTACACATCAACGCTACGAAATTGAACGGCGCCATGACACCCGCGACCGTGCTGCCACCCCGAAAAGTTGCGTATTTGACAATTTATTTTGCACGTTACAGACCGAGGGCAATCACAAAAGTGCAATTATATTTATACCTAAATGCTATTTAATCGAACGATATTCATTTTAGGGCAAATTTATCCATATTATAACTGATACTATATGTCGTTTATAAGATATTACAATCCTTTTGTTTTTAAATGAATAATGAATAAATAAGAAACACCCTTCGGTCTGTAGCCCTTGGCTGGAAAGTGGTTTTGCGCAACTTATCAGATCGTGCGCTTTGAGTGGCGCCACCGTCGTTGTAATCAAACTGTAGTCGTTAGTTTTAAAACATTAAAAAAAAAATTTCTAATGGTGATTGAACCATGAAACTTTTTATGTAGCGTAATTATAACGCAGTGGCTGGAGGTACGGTAGCCGTCGGTCGTTCAAGCCCCTTTTTTGCGTTAGGGTTAGGGTTAGGGTTAGGATTAGGGTTAGGGTTAGGTTTAGGGTTATGGTTAGGGTTAGGGTTAGGTTTAGGGTTAGGGTTCTAGCTCATCTAAACTCTCAAATCGTGAATTTATTTCCCAAGGCGTTATTTCGAAATCTAGCGCCACCGCCACCATCTTTGTCTCGTTAAGTATGAAAGCGAATGGACTCCCGTACCCGTAGCCTCGAGACACTAAGATACGGCTACCGTACCCATAGCCACTGCCTAATTATAACCTAAATTAGCTGAAAATAACCCTAGAACCTAGAGTAAACTCTCCCTTTAAGTGAAACTCAATTAAAATGACATTAGAAGTAGCGTTGTACATTCAACTTGCCATAACATTTTACTTTGTATGGATACCTCTTCTAGCTGTACGTGCCTACTCCTCCTATAGCCACTACGTGGTGAGAGGTGCTCCGCTGTGTAACAGTCGGAGAGCCTGGTCGGTTTACTCCTCCTGTACTGTAGCTTTGAACGTCAGACTTGCTTTTAGGCTTAGCTAGTCATTGACCTAGTCAAGCATCATGATCAGGCATTCCTGACCACAGGCACTTGAAGCGTTTCAATAAAATATAATGCTAACTAAATACGAAATCTATTTACTACCAAATTCTTAATGTTAGATTTCGTATTTAGTTAGCAACTTAGCATTATATTTTATTGAAACGCCTGTGTTCCTGACCGATACAATGCAAGTAAATCGGCCAGAGTGAGGGCGCCATCAGTCGTGGAGAACTGCCAGCGCAATGCACTACTGTTTCCGCCATGGTTTCCGTCTGTTTCCCATAGGTTCTTAGAAATATTAGCCGCTTTCATTGAGTCGTATTTCTGGAGTGCAACGATGGAGTCACTAATTGTTGAAGATAAAACCGAACCCACACCTCCCGTAGACAGAGAAAAGGTAATCTCTCTAAACATAATTATCAGTATTTGTTAGTACTAGGGTAGGGGGTAGTCTTACAGTTTAGTTTCTGACACTGGTTGCGATTGAGGTCCCAACATGGCAACAACCAAAAATAGACACCATATTTTGTCCCTATCCTAGCCTAGGCGGTCTAGACTGTAGTCACACTAGTGTAGTCAGTCAGTAGTCCGGCCTGCGTTTATGGCGTGTAGTACTAGTTGTACTTTGTAGTTACTTAACTTACTAGTTGTAAGTTGGGATCAAGGATAGTTTGGGACCCCACAAATATATTTTCGCACATGTGCTAAACTAATCCAGGGTGCTAAACAGTAAACTAGGCTTGGGCCGTAAGTTGTAGGGTTTAATCCACATTTGGTGCTGGTTATTAACCCTATATAATATCCCCTTCCATGTTCTATGCCTCAGTTTTATTACTAGTAGTAGTAGTAGTATTACTATTAGTATTACACATGCGTCTAAACAGAGGAATTGCTCCGACCTGTGATTGGAGGATAAAAATAGAATTCGTGGCATTTCGTTTCCCCGGTCATAGCCGCGCATGTATTAGCCTATGAGCGATACCTCGCGTGCATGTTTGCTAATTAATTAGACTTATCGTGCTTCAATAGACTCAAAATTCACAGAGATTTATAAGGCTAAGACATGTGTCTATAATAGCAGTCTGCGAAATTAACCACTGGCCTGGTATCCGAGGCCAGTAAATTTTCCGTGTGGCCAATGAAACTGGTAAATGAACAAGCCCGATGGGCCAGTGGAAAAAATTTGAGTAAATGGTCTATTAATGATATTTCAGCCTATTTATGTGATGATCAGTCTGAGAATTTACCGGAATTCCCGATATTTTGTATGAAAATTTACCGATATTTACCGATAGGGCATCATATTCCCGATCTTAAGTAGGGGAAGTAACTAGTCAACACCATGCGTGTTTGTCGCCGCTAGAGGTCGGAACAACTTCCAGTTTTCGGTTCTGGTTTTCAACATGGCCTTGAACATGTTGGCTAAGTTACTGTTCGAAGTCGAAATGAGCTTTCTGATGATGAATGAGCGTGATGATGATGAGTACGATGGCAGTGACAACGAGATGGGGGAGAGGAAAGTGGATAATTTTTTGTTCAATTTGATGAAAGAATAAATCTCAAAGAATACACCAGAGTTCTGTTTCTCTTTTCATAATATGATGATCATTGATTCGGGCCTGTAAAACCTAGTGTGGGCCAGTGAATTATACATTTCACAGGCCCGCTGGGCCAATGAGGGTGGAAGTGTTTCGTGCAAACTGTAATAGCTTGAATTTATAGAAATGTAACTCAAATCGTTCGCTCCATATCATAGTTAGTACACGTTCCTACCGGCCATATAATATAGCCGCGCGTATATTATTAGCCTATGAGCGATACCGCACGTGCATATTTGCTAATTAATTAGACTAATCGCTCTTCAATAGACTCAAAATTTACAGAGATTAAGGCTAAGATCGACATATGTCTATCATAGCTAGAATTTATAGAAATGTAACTCAAATCGTTCGCTCCATATGATAGTTAGTACACATTGCTACTGGTCGTAGCATAATAGCGTGTGCGGCGGGAGTGGGCAGGGTCTATTTTTATCCTCCAATTACAGGTCGGAGCAATTGCTCTGTTTAGACGCATGTAGTATTACATTCATTAAGTGATATATAATAATATAAATCTATGCAATAGTAGAACACATACGGTACGCACACACGTTCATGGTGTACATCGATTTAGTCCGAGTTTTCTCAATGCCCACACCGACGAAATGTTTACGCATATCTCGGTTAGTAACAAAATCGTAACGTATTGTAGAAGACACCCAATAACATGATGGAGCAAAACTATTGTTTTCTCTACGTCACAATTCTGTTACTAAGTAGTTATTTGCATTCATCTGTGGTTTTATAGTTGTGCTGACGTCGCATGGTCACACCAGTTGTTCAGATGGAGCAGATTGAAACTTGGAATGCTGTCTGTCTCGTCGTTAATGGAGAGGTGGTCTTCCAATGTGATATCAATGACCTCGACTTTGGTATGACATGGGGCACCGTAGCAGGCTTTCAGATTTGAAAAGTACAGGAGGACTAATGACTCCCCTGGGACAGCTCCAGTAAAAAATCACACCCTTAAGAGGCATAATGGAGAGCGCCACTAAAAATCACACCCTTAAAAGGGATGATGGAGAGCTCCTTGAGGGATATAGGAGGAAATACGGAATTCCGGCACAAATCTCAACGGCTCGACCTACGCTCGTAATATTTGATGTATAGTGTGATGGGGAGGAACCCCATCACCAGTGCGAAATTGGACGTCACAGGTCAAAGGGCAGTAGGGGAAAGGTCAGATATCAGACATTTTCTGAGGACATGGTCTAACTGACCGAGTGCAAGACTTGTTTGTTTCAGCACCAGAAATGTACTTTCTGCTGACGTGCGAAGAGTAAGTGTCTGATAACCTTTTGACCCTGTTAAAGAGGAGGTTAAAGCGTGATTTGTTGACTTTAACAAAAGGCACTGAACTGCTTTTGCTATTAGAGGCCCCCTCCACCCGCTCTCGTCCGCCACACCTCCCCCCGCCCTCACCCCTCGCCCTGCCCCCTCACCCTCCCCCCCCCACCCTTCCCACACCACCACTACTACGCTCGAGCTCGACGCATATTCCATGATAAAGATAACATGTTAATAGATACTAGCGAAAGTCATTAAAGTACACAGGCTGTATTTATTACTGTACTACCGGTATAGCAAAGCCTATCATAGATTTTAGATTTGTATAATAGTAGTATCCTAGATATATGCTCTGAGCGCGAATGCGGTGGCGGGAGGGCGCACTTGATTCGGTTGCCAGTGAGTTTATCAGAAGAATACCCGGCTACAGTACACGTTAGTTGAGCAATTGTTCCAAGAAAATTTGGCAGACGTGCACCGCAAATGTCCTGTAATGTCCAAACGTGTAATCAACAGCGGGTGTTACAGATATCCAGCGTGTACTGCGCTTGCCGCTAGTGCAGACGATGTACGTGCGTTATGGCCAGCAGCGGTTAAGATTGATGTACGGACCCGATTGTTTCATGCCTGCTGTGTATGTGGCACGAACTGACGTCATGTATGGAGCATGTTTATGACTGCGTAGGGGTGATGGGCGCCTGGGAGGGTAGCCCTAGATATATAAGTCGACAAAATGGCGACTTTCACGTATGTCAGCGCAAATATGCTGCTCCCAAAAGTGTCGACTTATGTAAGTTTTACTGTAGCAGTTTTAAACTACCATAGTGAGGAATTCCAAGATTTTAGAAATAGGTCGTGGATATTCGTTCGAGCATCCGACACCTGTTCGTATGCACAATTCGTCCGAGCAGTTGTTGCGCATGCGCTGTTCATGTTGTATACATAAATGTAATATAATGCTGGTCTAGGGAGTCGCCTACTCCCTTACCTTAACCCCAACTACACCTACTCTTTAACCCTAACCCTAACCCTAACCCTAAACCGACTCGGCTATCTTATATACATGTGTCATAGTACCAAAATTAATCTATGGTGTATAACCACATGCGCAACGCATGCGCAACAACTGCTCGGACGAATAGCGCATACGAACAGGTGTCTGATGCTCAGACGAATATCCACGTCGTTAGACGACAATATTGAGATAGTAATTGTACGATTGAATCATTTAGTTACCCAGTAATCGTTTTCCTGTAAAATTAAGTTGACATCTTTTTTAGAACGTGAATTTATTACACTGAAGACATACATTGCACCTGACACGATAGTGACGATACTATTCGATACTGCGAATAATTAATGTAATTAAACAGAAGTTGTGGAATGCACGACAGAAAACCGATCTCAGGGCTTGCACGGCGCCTAAGCCATTTAGCATTATTGTTTTGTTAATAAAGACTTAAGTTATTATTTCGTGTTCAGCTGCATATCCCGAACACAACACCAGCTGATTGTAAACACGGTTCATGTTGTACACTATTCAACTGAAGACATACAAATGAGGACATACTGCTGCAAGTGCAAGTGCATAAGCTACTGCTGCAATACTGCATGTGTGTCCTCTATTGTATGCAATCCTAGTTTGGGACCCCAGGCCTCATTTTTAGCTCATCTGACATAGTCAGATGCAGCTTGTAGAATTGCATGATCGTCCGTGCGTCCGTCCGTGCGTCAACAGTTGGGCACAAATCTTAACCGCTCGACGTACGGTCACGATATTCGGGACGTGGGGGGGTAATCCGAAAACGAGTTGGGATGGCAAAGCTGGGGGTCAAAGGTCAAAGGTCAAGCGGTGTAAAAGAAGGGGAAACATTCGCTCCTTAACTTAAGGTATAGG